GGCTTTCTCTCAGAGGTGCTTGCAGCGATTACTGGGACACTGAGACGTGGGGCCTCTTAGGGTAGGACTGGGGAGCAGCCATAGCTGCTTGCCCTGCCCTGTTGATCCCCTGAGACCCCGCCCCACCTAAGCTGTGCACAGAGGCTTTTGCATATGAAAGGCCTGGCCCTTTACAACCTGGCTTGCTCCGCCCTGTTGATTCCGAGACCCCGCCCCATCCAGGCTGCTGCAAAGCCTTTTGCATATGAATGCCCGGGTCCTTTACAATCTGACAACTACCTAACAAATTGCAGCTGGGCCAGACAGACCCAGAACTTCCAAGAGAAGGCCCAAGGCCCCACAGCAGCTTGCATTGCTTCTCAGCTGGGCCTCATCTGGGCACCCCCAAACCCCCAAAAAAGGAAGGGGAATCTGCATATCTCTTCATAGCTCCTGCTGGGTAACCTCAGGAAGAGGCTTAATTAGCACCTCCTTAGATCCAAGAGCCAGTGTACCCAGTGGTCAGAGTGGGACCACCCAGATTACAACTCCTCAGATTCATAAGGAACACACTCAGGGGGCAGACTCAGTGAGCACCAAAGCCCCACTGAAGCAAGTCTTGCCCCAGAAGGGTGTCTTCAGCACAGAAGTTCTCCCACTGCAGACACAGCTGATTCTCACTGCCAATTGGCCTGGAGGTCAATTCCTCCCAGTGACACCTAAAACAATCAAGGCATAACTACAACAAGACTGTGCACAAAGCCCACAAGGGGGTGCACCAAGAGTGTCCACCTCAGGTAACTGGGGAGGCTGAGCCACTGGGCCCTGTAGGACACCTAGCACACAAAACCACTCTACCAACACAGGGAAGCAGACAAAATGCGAAGACAAAGAAACAGGTCACAAATGACAGAAATGGAGGACAGCAAACGACTGGATATAGAGTTCAAAACCACGGTTCTAAGATTTTTCAAGAATTTTATGGAAACCGCCGATAAATGTATTGAGATCCTTAAGAAATCTAGTGAGACCCTCGATGTTGTGATAAAGGACCAACTAGAAATTAAGCATACACTGACTGAAATAAAGAATATTATACAGACTCCCAACAGCAGACCAGAGGATCGCAAGAATCAAGTCAAAGATTTGAAATACGAAGAAGCAAAAAACACCCAACCGGAAAAGCAAAATGAAAAAAGAATCCAAAAATACGAAGATAGTGTAAGGAGCCTCTGGGACAACTTCAAGCGTACCAACATCAGAATTATAGGGGTACCAGAAGAAGAGAGAGGGCAAGATATTGAAAACCTATTTGAAGAAATAATGACAGAAAACTTCCCCTACCTGGTGAAAGAAATAGACTTCCAAGTCCAGGAAGCGCAGAGAACCCCAAACAAAAGGAATCCAAAGAGGACCACACCAAGACACATCATAATTAAAATGCCAAGAGCAAAAGACAAAGAGAGAATCTTAAAAGCAGCAAGAGAAAAAAAGTCAGTTACCTACAAGGGAGTACCCATACGACTGTCAGCTGATTTCTCAACAGAAACTTTATAGGCTAGAAGGGAGTGGCAAGAAATATTCAAAGTGATGAATACCAAGAACCTACAACCAAGATTACTTTACCCAGCAAAGATATCATTCAGAATTGAAGGTCAGATAAAGAGCTTCACAGATAAGAAAAGGCTAAAGGAGTTCATCACCACCAAACCAGTATTAAATGAAATGCTGAAAGGTATCCTTTAAGAGGAAGAAGAAGAAAAAGGTACAGGTACAAATTATGAACAACAAATACACATCTATCAACAAGTGAATCTAAAAATCAAGTGAATAATCTGATGAACAGAAAAAAAAAAAAAAAGAAAAGTTAGGTACATGCCCAAGAGCAAGTGGTGGAACTTAGTAAGTGCTTTGCAACAAAAGACTGTAATTTTCATACTGGAACAATTACAAAGGAAAATCCATAAAAGTTCCTATGCTCTCAGCATATCCACCCCTGCCGCCCATCAGTATCACCAACCTCCAACAGATTTCCTCTGTGGCACTTCCTATCCCTTACCTCTCAATTAGCTGTTTCCCCAAAACAATCTTGGTCCCTTCAACCTTGATAAGTTCTTCATTATCATTATGAATGACTGTCTTTTCCAACTCCTCTTCCTGTTCCTCTGTCATGGCAACAGGATTGGAAGGTGGAGCATTTGTTTGATAATAGAGGGGGCAGAATTTGTTTGTCCTCATGTGCCCAATGGCTCCACAAGCCCCACATTTCAGCTGCAGGAGGAAAAGTACCAATGTCAAAGGTAAGCAGGCTGCATGATGTTAGCTTTAAGAAATCTATACAATTTGGGTAGGTCAGCCTATGATCTTTCTGGAATAAAATTAACTTAATTTCAATGAAAATTATTTTGCATAGAGAAATAAAGTTCAACAAAAGTCTGCTAAAAACATACATACAAGGCAAGAGAGAGACAAAGGCAGGATCAGAACTTTGGTTTGAAAAGAACTGTTAAACACCTTCAACCAGAGGCATTGGACAAAAGTGCATATGTATGGAAAGGGCACATTAAAAAAATACAGAGAAAGAACATTTCTATAAAAATCAAGAAAGAAAACGAAGAGGATTTCCACTTCCAACTTAAGTTATAAACTATGAAAATAGTAAATGTACAGAAGAAAGTCTGTTGGAAGCCCAAGGCTGCACTCGGCAACACAGGCAGCCAGCATGGGCATATTCCCATCTGTTTTGCAATTGACCGCATGTTCATCTGTGAAATGGGGTCAATGCTGTATCATGTTTACATAAAATCACATACATTAAAATACTTTATTGACCTCAGGTTAACAGCAGTTTAAACTTGTTGAAAATTTTAGTTTATAAAGTGCTTCCCACGTATTATATCACTTAGTACCACAGTACTGTGAGATAGGTATTTTATAGAAGAAAAAACAGGTTTGAAAAGGTTAAGATCACAGAGCTATTAGATGGCAACCAGACTTGAATCTAGATCTTCTGTATGCAAATCCCCGGTTCTTTCCACTGTATCACAGTTGCCTCATTTTATGGTAAATATTACAATTAAACTGCATAGTAATATCTAGAATCCTACCTAAGTTATGCAAAGCAATATGTATTTTATATTTATTTCTGTTGCTTCTTTTAATATATACAATTTAAAAACAAGACATGTGTGTGTATAAATGCTCATATGTACATAAATACACGTTAAAAAATCTTGCCCTAGCCAGTTTGGCTCAGTGGATAGAGCGTCAGCCTGCAGACTAAAGGGTCCCATGCCCGGGTTGCAGGCTTGATCTCCGGTGGGGGGTGTGCAGGAAGCAGCCAATCCATGGTTCTCTCTCATCATTGACATTTTTATCTCTCTCCCCCTCTCTAAAATCAATTAAAAAAAATTTTTTTAAATCCACCAAACCTATTTCAACTCCTAGAAAATATTTCCAATGGATGAGGTATGAAATGACACCCAATGGCACTAGATTAGGTCTGGTGGTTTTGGTACCAGTCATACTAGTACTGAAAACACCCAAATAACCATGTCAATTCAGACTAGCTTTCAACAATACTGCCTTCCCAGTAAGGGAGGATCCAAAAGGTAGGGGGAAAAGTATGCTTTCTTTCTTTGCTTTGTTAATTATGATCATACCACATTATACTTACTTTTAGGTCAGGACGCTCCTTCAACTTTTTTGGCTTTTTCTCAGGAGGACCCTTAAGCTTCTCCTTCTCCTGGTTCCGCTTAAGCCGCCTCAGCTGCTCTTGAATCCTCCGCCGTTCTTTTCGCATCTCTTCTCGATGCTGTTCATCAAAAAGGGCAAATTTTCGACTAAATAACAGGAAAGGGGGTGTAAAAAAAATCATAGGACCATAAGCAAACCTAAACCAAGCAGACTGTTCTAATAGCTAAACATCTCCAAACTAAAGTAATCCATCCATACTAAAATAAAAGAGGTCGCCTGGCATTCCCATCTCCCCCACTCATCAGCCTTTTAGTTGCAGAGTGACACCTCTCTCAGAATGAGAGTAATCCCTAAGATTTCTGCCAGCCAACCAACTAACCAAAATGCAAAGTACTCAGGTAGAACTGAAAATACGTCTTTGTTTTGTGGCAAATTTTGAATTCTCCCTGTGATTTGGCACTACTCGAACCCAAAGATCTAAAAGGCAAGATGGTTCCCTATTAGTGGACTTCCAGGGACAACTATGCAGAATCCTATCACTAAAAATCATGCCCTAACTGGTTTGGCTCAGTGGATAGAGTGTCAGCCTGCGGACTCAAGGGTCCCAGGTTCGATTCCAGTCAAGGGCATGTACCTTGGTTGCGGGTACATCCCTAGTAGGGAGTGTGCAGGAGGCAGCTGATCGATGTTTCTCTCTCATCGATGTATCTAACTCTCTATCCCTCTCCCTTCCTCTCTGTAAAAAATAAAATATATTTTTTTAAAAATCAAGCACTCACCCTCACTCCCATTCCCCACCATTATCATTCTTAATCAAAGTGGAAAGTGGTGAGATAAACTCACATGAACTCCTCATCTTTTGTAGTCCGTATGCGCACATAGGCATCTATGACAGCTGGCTCTCGGACCGTCTCACAGCGAACATATTCTTTCCCCTCTTCATCTCGAAATGTGCGATAAATCTTGAGACAACGGCCAGTGGCAGAAGAGTTCCGGCTAGTCACAGAAGCCGTATCATCATCTCTGTGATTGTTTCCTGCTGCTGCCGAACCTGCTGCTGCAAGGCAGAAAAAGATTTCCACACATTCCCCCTACCACTCAAATGTCCATTTTCTTGGGGTTGAGAGAAAACCTCGAAGCTCAACATGCCACAAAACTATGGTTCTACAGAAAGTATAAAAGTTCCCACCAGCCCTCAAATATACTGACATGTCCTTTCCTGACTTCATTTTACCATTGCCAATGTTTCCATTTTTTTAAGTACAAAGTTCTGAAAGGACTTCAATGAACTACATCTTCAGCCTTAACCCTCTCTCTCAGTATCTACATCCAAGTTTTCAACTGCCTGCTTGAAATCCATACTGGGAAGTGTCATGGGGATCTCTAATTCCACACATTACACCTTTCCTTCTTAATACTACTTCTTTCTTTGTTATTTACTACTTTAATCAATGGTACCACCATCTTTCTAGCAAGCCTAGAGTGAAATTTTAAGGTCACCTTGGTTCTTCTCTTCTCATTCTAGTATCCATATCCCAAACCAGTTCAGGCTTTGATCATCCCCAGACTCATTTTCTGCAATTTTTGATTGGTTATTTTAAACCCTTTTTAGAATCTAGAACTCGTTTCAGAATCTTCTGATATTCATGGATCTTCTCCTCAGAAAAGGCACATTTGCACAGAATTTTACATGTAATTTCTGAGGGTTCAAGAACCCCCCCAAATTCATCCATGGATTCTGTATTAAAAACTCTTACCCTCTAGGATGAATGCCCAGAAAGCTCACTTGATGGACATAGCCCTGGCTTGACCAGGCCTGACACAGACAGAAGCAGTTAATAGATTGGCAGTATCTCTTCAATTTGTGCCCTACAGACAAACCTAGAGACCAATTTTCAGTGCTATCTACCTCATCTACAGGCTTTTCTACACTCATCCCCTGCTATTTCTGCCTCTGGTTTTGCCTCACTTATTAGTCTTGTTATTTATACTTTTTCAATCCTCTTTTTGTCTGTCTGTGAAGCCACTACTCTCACCCAGTAGCATCCTCTGTAGTTCCTTCCGCTCCTGCTGCTCCGGTTCCCGTGACAGCTGAGAGCTGGTTTTCTTATTCTGCAACATGCTCTCTATAGCCTTCCCCATTTCTTCAAAGTCACTGTCTTCAGCTGAGCTGCTATCTGTATCAGTTGATAAGACTTCAGTTGATGACAAAACCCTAAAAAGAGAAAGAAATGTTAAAGACAAGGGAAAATATGAAAGTGTAGAAAAAGCTGAACATATACAGTTTAGGCAAGAGTAGGAAATTGGAAAATCAACTTTAAAAAGAAATACTCAAAATCCACTAATTCATGGGACCCTACCAAAAAAGCTTTACAAAATTTTCCTAGCCTGGCCAGTGTGGTTCAGTGGTTGAGCATTGACCCATGAACCAGGAGGTCGCTGGTTCGATTCCCTGTCAGGGCACATTGCCCGGGTTGTGGGCTCAATCTCCAGTAAGGGGTGTGCAGGAGGGCAGTCAATCGATGATGTTTCTCTCTCACTGATGTTTCTGTCTCTCTATCCCTCTCCCTTCCTCTCTCTCTCTAAAAATCAATAAAAACATATTTTAAAAAAATTTTCCTAGACATTTGGTCAATAAGGCAAGTTTGAAATACAAAGTAGTACAGCATTTCATATTCAGAATTCCTGGAGAAAGCCTGAGAAACAAATTAGCACATTGCCCATTTTTAATAGGGCATTACCATCCTCACCAGTAAGCCTTCAGACAAAAACACAACTGTCCCTTATCACCATTGTGGTGTCTGCCAGGTCCAAGTAGACCACAAAAGTTGCCATGGAACCAAAGCTCAAACCTAGTATGTCTTGCTATTCAAAATCTTTGCCAAGTTGGTTTGAAGGAAGTATTCTAGCAGTATTATGAACAGATACCACACTGAAATCTCAGACACCTGACTACCTAAGTCACATTACTAGGTGACCTCCTATTCATTATAAAATAGTGTCTAAGAGCTCACCACCTCTCCCAGCTTAGATTTTCTGCAGCACTACAACAACATACTTGTTTTGTAGGTCAAAGATGCGTTGACATTCCTCTTTGTAACGTTCTTGATGCTCAGCCACAGAAAGCCTTGATCCACGGGCAAATTTACTCATTGGCCCTTCCCCAGAGTGGGCCTGTTCTGTTGACATGGTGCGCACCACATCAATCACTTCCCAGCGGGACAACTTTTTAATCTACAGGAGATATACACACACACACACATACACATACAAATCATTCGGAGATCTCATAGAACAAATCAAGGCACAGTGAGAGAAGTAGACAAAAAAATTTACCCTAAGTAGGTTAAACAGAAAGCTCTGGGAAAGTTAACTCCTGAAAAAGTATCCAAGATCCAGTCGGCTACAAGCTACCCCACAAAATTCTTCAGATTGTTCCTTACATCTGCCTCCTAGCTTCTCCCTCTTTATACAAAGCCCCTAGGAGCATTTAAGTTTCCTCTTCCACACCCACCTCTTCCTCAGGCATGCCAAATTTATGTAGAAGTTGCTTGGCGTTTTTCAAAGAGAGGCGACGGAGGTCTGCATCTGTTCCTGTCACTGTTTTCTTCACTGGCTGAGGCTCTTTATCATCCTACCGCAAAAACAGAACAAAACAGGTAAGAATCCCAGTAAGTTTAACTCCTTATAATAGGATCTAAGTTCATCCTGTCAACATAATTGCTTTCCAGATCCTCCATCCCATTCATCTCCACTATTTAACCTCCATTTCTTTCTCCCCTAATTTTCGCCTTCTAGAAATTCAGTCTCACCTTCTGTTGTGTTGGTTTGTTTGGAATCTTCACATAGGAAAATCCTTCGCCACACCCTGTGGGATCTGCCACCCCAGTCACCTGCAAGCGACACTTGCCCTTCATGGCAGCAATGAAGGCCCTTGTGGTGTTCCAAGGAGCAGTGCGAACCTGAGGTATAGAAAAAGATCCTAAAGGCTACAGGAACTTTTGCTCTATATCTAACCATACTTAGATGGTTGGAATGATTACAATAACGTACAATTTGATGCTTGCTTAAACTGTCGTCAAAGTACAATAGTTACATAAAGTTACCCAGTACTCAGCTTTTTCTTCTTTCCTATGGTACTTAAAACATGTTATTAAATAGAGGTCAAGATATCAAACAGCGTGAGGAGGAATATGTGGTACAGTGATACCCTTTAGCACCATATCTCTTGGGCTTAACTGAGAGTTTTCAGACACTGTTACCCACACCCCTTCATGATGTACAAAGACGTAAGTTAGATTGGTGATTTTATTTGATTGTCCAATTGCTCAAATGGCTTTAGAATGAATGACCTATATAATCTTATAATCAAATGATAAGTATGCTTTACAAAGGACCAGCCCCAACCCCAGCAGCACTAAACCAAAGTCCATTCCACCTCTGCCACTGTTTCGGTCAAAAAGGCCTGTCCTCGCCCTAGCCGGTTTGGCTCAGTGGATAGAGTGTCAACCTGCGGACTGAAGGTTCCCGGGTTCAATTCTGGTCAAGGGCACATGCCCTGTTGTGGGCTCAATACCTAGTAGGGAGCATGGAGGAGGCCGCCAATCAATGATTCTCTCATCATTGATGTTTCTATCTCTCTCTCCCTCTCCCTTCCTCTCTGAAATCAATAAAAATATATTTTAAAAAAGGTCTGTCCTCTCCTAGGACTCTAAATAGTGTTTACCAACCCCAGAAAACAATCAGGGAATTAAGACAAGTGGAATGTGCTTGTCTACACAGGTCAGTCAGAGTACATGATTAGCTGGAAAGTGGCCAATTCTCTATTCATGATTCAATTTTGAAGGCTATTCAATAGAATCCTTAATTTCTGAAACTCTTAGGACATCCAGTCATTTTTCACTCCAAACTCAAAGAAATAGCACATCAATGCTTCTTTATTCATTGAATCACCTCATCTACAATCGTTCCCTCAGTTATTGATTGAATATCTACCACATGCCAGCAATATTTTTTCATGAACCTCTTATTAATGAGGAAGAGACAGTCAACCAACCAAATTCAACATTGCATGATCAGAACTATGATAGGAAAGAAAAGTATTATCCTATATAATAAAAGCCTAATATGCTAAGTGTCCAGTTGACCATTCAACCAAAGCGTAATATGCTAATGATATGCTAAGGCCACTCAACTGCTTGCTATGATGTACACTGACCACCAGGGGACAGAAGCTCCTACTGGTACGTTAGCTTGCTGGGGTCTAGAAGCTCTTTCATTATATAGGCATAGCTTTCCTCAGTTAATTATTTAAGTACTAGAGGCCCAGTGCACAAAAATTTGTGTATTCAGGGGGGTCCCTCAGCCCGGCCTGTGACCTCTCGCAATCTGGAACCCCTCGGGGATGTTGGAGAGCCAGTTTCAGCCCAATCACGCAGGCCAGGCCAAGGGACCCCACTGGTGCACGAATTCATGCACCAGGCCTCTAGTATGTACATAAAGAAGGGAAGGTTGATGATCCAATCTAAATGAAGGGTGAGAATAGGAGCAAGAGTTAGGGAAAGCTTCCAAGAGAATGTAATTTGTATATGAAAGTCAAATGGTAGAAGAGTGGAGAGAAAAATATTCCTGGCATAGGCAACAGCAGTTACAAAAACCTAGAAGCCAACAGAAAGAAATTTATGGAACTGATTTGAGTTTTAGTATGTTTGCAGCTTAGAGTACAAGATGGGTAACGTTACAGGAGATGAGAGGTTAGAGTTATATACACAGCACAAGTCATATAAATCCTTGTAAATCATGTTAAGCACTTCTTCCTGAAAGAAAAAAGGCCCCAAAGAATGTCTTTGGGCAAGAAAGCAGTATGATGAAATTTTTGTTTTAAAAGATTATTCAACTTTTTAACAAATGTGCTAGATTTATTGGACATGCATTTACATGCAAAAAAGAACCTTAATCTATCCCATGTACCCTACCTACACAAAACTAATTCAAACATTAAGATATAAAACAGTAAAACTTTTAGAAGAAAACATAAGATAAAATCTTTATGATCTTTCTCAGATATAACACCAAACCTATGAGCAACAGAGAAGACAGACAAATTGGACTTCTGCTCTTCATAAGACACTGTTACGACAATTAAAAGAGCTACAGGCCCTTTCCAGGTAGCTAAGTCGGCTAGAGCACTGTCCCAATACACCAAGGTTGTGGGTTCGATCTCTGGTCAGGGCATATACAAGAATCAACCAAAGAATGCATAAATATGTAGAACAATAAATCCACATTTCTCTCTCTCTCTCAATGATTCTCTCTCATAATTGACGTTTCTAGCTCTCTCTCTCTGTCCCTTCCTCTATGAAATCAATAAAAACATTTAAAAAAGTGAATCAGCCCTAGCCAGTTTGGCTCAGTGGCCTGTGGGCTGAAGGGTCCCGGGTACGATTCCGGTCAAGGGCACGTGCAGGAGGCAACCAATCTATGTGTTTCTCTCACATCAATATTTCTGTCTTTCCCTCTTTAAAAATCAATGAAAAAATATCCTTGGGTATTAAAAAAAAAAAAAAGAATCAAACACCTAAACATAAGAACTAAAAGCATAAAACTCTTAAAAAGAAAACAGGGAGAATAATTCATTACACTGGATTTGGCAATTATTTCTTGGATGCTGAACAAAAATAAAATTAGATAAATTTGACTATATCAAAATTAAAAACATCTCTGCATCAAAGGACACAACAGAGTGAAAAGGCAACCTATAGAATGAAAGAAAATATTTGTGTATCACATCTAATGCAAGGTTAATATCCAGGAACTCCTAGTCCTGCCCTAACCGGTTTGGCTCAGTGGACAGAGTGTCGGCCTGTGGACTGAAGGATCCCAGGTTCGATTCTGGTCGGGGGCATGTACCTTGGTTGTGGGCACATCCCCAGGAGGGGGTGTGCAGGAAGCAGCTGATCGATGTTTCTCTCTCATTGATGTTTCTAACTCTATCCCTCTTCCTCTCTGGAAAAACTCAATAAAATATACTGCGGGGGGGGCGGGGGGGGACCCCCTCCTAGTCCTGGCTGGTGTGGCTCAGTTGGTGGGAGCATCACTCCATATACCAAAAAGTCACAGTTCAATTCCTGATCAGGGCACATACCCAGGTTGTGAGTTTGACTCCCAGTGTAGGTGAGTATGGGAGATGACTGATCAATGTTTTTTTTTTGCTCCCCCCCCCCAACCCTGGCACTCTCTCTAAAGATCAATTAAAAAAAAAACTACACTCAACAACAAAAAACAAACAACCCAATTCAAAAATGGGCTAAGGATGTAAATAGACACTTCTCGAAAGACATACAAAAGGCCAACAAGCACATAAAAAGATGCACATGAACATCACTATTCATTAGAGAAATGTAAATCAAAACCCCAAGGAGGCAGTCGGCAGGGGTCAGTGGTTGAGCATCGACCTATGTACCAGGAAATCTTGGTTTGATCCCCCATCAGGGCATATGCCCAGGTTGTGTGCTCGATTCCCAATGTGGGGCGTGCAGGAGGCAGCCAATCAATGATTCTCTCTCATCACTGATGTTTCTATCTCTCTCTCCCTCTCCCTTCCTCTCTGAAATCAATAAAAATATATCTTAAAAAAACCAATGAGATACCACCTCACACCCAATAGGATGGCTACTATAAAAAAAACAACACAGTAACTAACAAGTGCTGGCAAAAAGTGTGAAATAACTGAAACTCTTACATACCATTGATAGGAACGTAAAATAGTGCAGCTGCTTTGAAAAACAGTATGGATGTTCCTCAAAAAAACAAAAATGGAACTACCATATGATCTAGTAATCCCACTTCTGGGTATATATGCAAAAGAATTCAAAGCAGGTTTTGAACAGATATCTGCACACCCATGTTCATAGCAGAACTATTCACAATAGCCAAGAGATGGAAACACCTGTCCATCGATGGATGAATAAAGAAACAAAATGTAGCATATACATACAATGAAATATTTAGCCTTAAAAAGAAAGAAAATTCTGACACAGACAAATCTTGAGGATATTATGCTACAGAAAATAAACAGTCACATAAAAACCAAAACTGTATGATTCCACTTAGGTGAAGTACCAAAAGTAGTAACATTCATAGAGACAGAAAGTACAATAGTGGTTGCCAGGGGCTGGAGAAGGGAGGACTGGGAAGTTATTGTTTAATGGATACTAGAGTTTCAGTTTTACAAGATGAAGAGTTCACCCTGGCCAGTTTGGCTCAGTTAGTTGGGCACTGTCCCATGTACCAGGAGGTTGCCAGTTTCATTCTAGGTCAAGGGCACATGCCCTGGTTGTGGGCTGGATCCCCGGTAGGGAGTGTGCAGCTGGCAGCTGATTGATGTGCTCTCACATCAATGTTTCTCTCCCCCTTCCTCTCTCTCTCAAAATCTAAATTATTCTTTTTTTAAAATATTATTTTTTAAATATATTTTTAAAATATATTTTACAGAGAGGAAGGGAGAGAGATAGAGAGTTAGAAACATCGATGAGAGAGAAACATCGATCAGCTGCCTCCTGCACACCTCCTACTGGGGATGTGCCCACAACCAAGGTACATGCCCTTGACCAGAATCGAACCTGGGACCTTTCAGTCCACAGGCTGATGCTCTATCCACTGAGCCAAACTGGTTAGGGCTAAATTATTCTTTTAAAAAATGAAGTTCTGGAGATTGGCTGTACAACAATGTAAATGTACTAACACTACTGAACTGTATACACTTAGATTAAGATCGTAAATTTTATATAACATATATTTTAACACAATTAAAAGGATGTATACTATATGATTTCATTTATCTAAAATTCTAGAAAACTAAAACTAATCTATAGTGACAGAAAGCAGATTAATAGTTGTCAGGGTATAGGGAGGGTGGAGAAAAGAGTGAAAAGGATTTCAAAGGGGCACTAAGATGAAGATTTCATAGGTATAAACATACATTAAAACATATCAAATAATATACTTTAAATATGTGCTGTTTATTCAATGTCAATCATATCTCAATAAGGCTGTTTTTTAAAAGGATAAATGGGAGTCCTAACTGGTTTTGCTGAGTGGCTAGAGAGTCAGCCTGCAGACTGAAGGGTCCTGGGTTCGATTCCGGTCAAGGGCACATGCCCGGGTTTCACTGTTTTCTTCACTGGCTGAGGCTCTTTATCATCCTTCTGTTGTGTTGGTTTGTTTGGAATCTTCACATAGGAAAATCCTTCACCACACCCTGTGGGATCTGCCACCCCAGTCACCTCCAAGAGACACTTGCCCTTCATGGCAGAAATGAAGGCCCTTGTGGTGTTCCAAGGAGCAGTGCGAACCTCATCATCAATCTTCACCTGGAAATCTTCCTCGTTTTCTTCTTCTGGAGCAAAAAAGGACTTCTCACCATAGCCAGCATCCTGGAAGAGGACAAATCCATCCATAAATCAAGCAATAAGTTAAAAAACACAAGTTTCACTGAATACCAAGTACAGAATATCAAAGCCCAGTCTGCATACAGAATAGATTTTGCATAGTTTTTGCTCTATCTACCACCATTTTACATTCTTAGGCTATCTATATATATAAAAGTGTAAGTGACCGAACGACTGGTCGACATGACATGCACTGACCACCAGGAGGCAAACATTCAACGCAGGAGCTGCCCCATGGTGGTCAGTGCGCTCCCACAGCCAACCTCCTGTGGCGCCCCTCACCCCCCACCGGCCAACCTCCCATGGTCCCTATCCCTGGCCGGCTGAACCTTCTGCGGTCCCTCCCCCCAGCCAACCTCCCGTGGCCTTGATCAGCTGTGATCGCCAGCCAGGCTGAGGGACCCCACCAGTGCATGTATTTGTGCACCGGGCTTCTAGTCAGAACATAAAGGAAGCTAAATAGAAATGCTCATTAACTCAGAGGGATTGAGTTGTACTATCCCACCTTAGCTAGATCTTTCATATTTTGGCCTGGTAAGCATACTGTGCTTCTTTCCCCTGCCCCCCATTTTATTCATTTACTTCTATACTGTGCTTCGTTAAACCACATGTGTAGCACCATCATCTCAGCCCACTTGGAAAGATTCTGGAAGACAACTGAGAAGTACTTTCCCTGCTTACATACCTGTCTTGTAAAGAACATAGTTTAAAGTCACCACCCAATGGATGAGCAACCATTTTCAAGGCAAAACAATCTGCCTTAAGTCCCTCATTAAGCTGTCCCACCGATATTTAGCTACACTGTAGTTTTCTCCAGAACTGATACACCTCATACAGCTAGAATTTTCAAATAACTGATAATAATCTATTAACAATCATTTCTAAACCAGTGAAAATAGTCTTCATCCTCATATCTCTGAAAAAACCCACAGGCATAGGCAGTACCCAAAAGGAAGATGTTCACCTTGAGTCGCTGCTCTGCAGCTATCATACTGTAATAAGCACAGCACTGCTCTGGAGACACCATAGCTCTGATCTCCTCTTCAGTTGGTAAACGAAAATCAGACTTCAGCACCCACCAATTTGAGTCCATCCCTAGAAAAGATACAGAAAGAATAAGACTGTTCTGACTTCCAAAAGCCCTTTTATTGACAGCAACAGGGATAGTAAACCAAGACTGAACCAGGCAATGTTCTAGGAGGTACCAGGCCTAGCCACAGTTAGCATGACTAGGCAAGAAAATCCCTACTGCTAGGTTTCCTACATCTCATATTAAGACATCCACCGCCCTAGATGGTTTGGCTCAGTGTTGGAGCGTTGGCCCACAGACTGAAGGGTCCCGGGTTCGATTCTGGTCAAGGACACATACCTGGGTTGCACGCTCGATCCCCGTCCCTGGTCGGGGCTCATGCAGGAGGCAACCAATCGATGTGTCTCTTTCACTTCAATGTTTCTCTCTGTCTCTCCCCCTCCCTTCTACTCTCTCTAAAAACCAATGGAGAAAATATCCTCGGATGATGATTAACAACAACAACAACAGAAAGATATACACCACTTTGAATTTCCTAACAGGGAAATCAAAATGCAATCCCAGCTTCCATAAGTAAAAGATCTGCTACCTCCTCCTTTTGATGACTATCAATTTCTATCTATTTTATTAGCCATATGCTTATTCTTTAACTAAAAGCCCTAATTCCTTTTTTGGAAAGAGGCAGAAAGGAAAAATAATCAGTCACAACTGATGACCTGTGCGTTTGAAGTCAGCACAGAGCTTTAGCCTCTTCCGGAGGCTGCTTTCTGAGTGAGAGGGAAAGGCTCTTGTTATATCTTCCATTCGGATCCGCCGTGGCCGATCTGCACTCTTCCAGAAGAGGCGGTAAATAAAAACCTGCCCAACGAACCAAATTTTTTTATGTGGCAAAGTAAAGAATAACAGTCACCAGGAACCCTCCCTCTACTACACCCCTATGTGTTTTGATTTTTCCTGATGTGCCCCCAAATACACATACCCTTTTATGTGTATCCTGATCCCCTCCTTATCCTCTCCTTCTTACCTGGAGAAAATCTCGAATATGTGTATTGGCCCTTTTGGAGTTGGGCCCAGGAACTTTAAACAAGGGGCACTGCTGGCCAACCACAAAGATATCCACTAATTCCCGAATGTAGTAACCTTGCCTTGTCCGAATGATAAGGAAATCAGTTTCTGGCATCTTATGAAGATAAATTGGGGCACGAAAAAGATTGTTCTCAAACGCCTAACAAAAGTAAAAACACAAAAATTATATATACACACACACACACACACACACACACACCCTAGGAAATTTAGTCAATAAAGGAAAACCACAGTAATTTGCTCTCATCCCCATTATGCCATCCACCCAGCAATATAAACAAATTATAATATGGAACATCAAATGGGATTAGACAGATAATTTCCCCCCACTGGTTATTTTTAAAAATCAGTAGTGGGGAAACTAAAGGATTTGGATTCAAATGACATTGACTGCTCTGCTACTATTCACTATATGATGTCAGATAAGTTAATATCTCTAGCTTAATTTTCCTCATATACAAAACTGAGAAATTGAAAAAGCCTAACACCTTACCGGATTGCTACAAAGATTACATATGAAAGTCACTTTAAAAACTAACAAGTACTATGCTATCTACCCTAGACCCCAGCATAGACCCTGACATAATACAGGTGAGATCAAAACATTTGTTAAATAATTTTTTTAAAAACCAACAAAAACAACTAATAAAATAGGAAGTGTGCTAGAAAACACATTAAACACATAAGACAAAAACATTTGAGCTTGTTTAAGTAGCAACCAGATAGGATCACCTGTAACAAGAAGCCTGTGATTTTAAGGAAAGACTTCTCAGAAAATCAGAAAAATGGGACAGAAAGATCTTCAATATATGGGTGTATGATAAGAAAATTATAAATGTGAAATGTAGAGAGAAAAAAACTATAGAAGATAAAAAAAAAAGTATCTTTAAGAAACTACAAAAGCCACAAATGAAGGGGATGGATTGATTGAAAATCTCAAAAGGAAGTTACAAGATGAGAATGCCAGGAACAATATAAAAATTACTAGAGGCCCGGTGCACAAAAATTCATGCA